TTAAGCCTAGAACAACTCAGAACAAAAAGATCTCGGTTGGAACAAAAAAGATAGTCTAAGTTTACTCATGGTCCGATAGACTGTTTGTCAAAAAATATTTTTTTCATTTTTTGGACTTATAATTCAACTTACAGATTTGTCCTTTTGAAACAATGTTTGGAATAACTAGAACAATCTATTGCGACATCAGAATGTTTGATTTTCGAAAAGTGGGGTGCCAGCTCAAAAAATCATTTTTTTTGTTTTATTCGAAAATCGTTTCGAATGAAGCAGTATCACTTTGGAACAATGTGGTACAAAGTCAGAACAACTTTCAAAATTATAAATTTCAAAAAGTGGGGTCAACTTTATGTAACTTGAGTGGTTTTGTAACTTGAGTGGAAAAAAAATGTCATATTTTTTGCAGTTCTGATACTCTCTTGAAAAGTTCTAGAGCTCTTTGCAACAATTTTAAATAGTTCCGGTCATTAAATACAAAAAAAAAGACTTTCAAAAAAAGGTGCGCTAAGTTCTCGCAGCGCACCTAATCAAAAAAACTATTTAAATTAACTATTTCTTTAGAGTTCCGGTTTGTTTTACAATAGTTCTAGAGTTCTATATCATATATAACAATAGTTTTAAAGAAATAGTTGATTTTACTGATTAAGTGCGCTTCGAGAACTTAGCGCACCTTTTTTTAAAAGTCTATTTTTTCGTATATAATGACCGGAATTATTGAAAAGTGTTGCAAAGAGCTCTAGAACTTTTCAAGAGAGTATCAGAACTGCAAAAAAAATGGCACCTTTTGAAATATGGTGCGCCAAGTCTTGGTACATTTTGAATGGCACATTTTGAAAAATGTAACTTCATACACTCAACGTTTCATGAACATTATAATTCATTTTGTCAGGAACAACCTGACATCGACGAAAGTAAATTTCTTGAAACATTAGAAACGAATTCATAAAAGATATGGATCAAATTTAAAAACCAAATTTTATCCTGATTTCATTTTCACTTATATTTCATCTTCACTTATAGCTGTACATTTTAATCTAAACATATTCAATCGTGATCTCTTTTGAAAATCGGGAACAAATTTTGTTTCCATAATTGTTGAGTTAATTTTGTGAAACATTCTTTATCTAAGATAATTCTTCTAAGATAAATCTTTTATTTTGATGATTATTCCACAATTCTTTATACTTATTTCTAAAATTAAATATTATTACATAAATATTATTATATGTTGTAACAATATATATATTTATAATTTCTATATATATAATAATACACATTATATGGTAAAAGAGTCTTCAACCATGTCCAGTGTCTTCATCCATAATTGTGAAGAGTTTAGCACTTTAATCACAATTGAAATATAAAAACAGGAAACGCAATGCGGAAAAGATCTTTTCGCACATACAGAGTGTCTTTGCAGGACAACCTTCTGAGTTCTCGTGGAGTACCGATAGTACAGATTAAGATGAACATTAAAAGTTCTATACCTCTTTGCAATATTCGTAATAATTATCAAGAAGACATTAATTAAAGAAAATCTGTGAATAATCGCAAGAGATATGGTACACTGAGAGAAAAATTATCTTAAAATCAACAAATATTTCCTTGGTGGGTGCCATTAACATATTTACTTAAATCTATATTCTCTTTACTTAAATCAAATATTGTTTACTTGATTTAAATAAACAATATTTGATTTAAGTAAAGAGAATATAGATTTAAGTAAATATGTTAATGGCACCCACCAAGGAAATATTTGTTGATTTTAAGATAATTTTTATCTCTGTGTAGATGAGCTACCGTGACGACATTTGCCATCATGTGCTTGTATTAGCTCAAACTGAACAAAAAAATTCTTTATCTTTTTCCTAATAGGCTTTTCTATAAACTTTGTAGATTTTTATTAATTAGACAACATTAATATATCATCACGTGCAACCATCCACTAATCTTCTTTAATTAATAATTATTAATCTACAAAGTTATTAGGAAAATGATAGAGGACTTTTTTGTTCAGTTCGATGTACAAGCACACGATGGCAGATATCGTCAGTACAGCTTATCTACCATATCTCGCGTGATCATTCACAAATTTTCTTTAATTAATATCTCGATAATTATTGCGAATAATTATTGCACAAAACAGTGTAGGACTTTTATGTTCACTTCAATTCAAATTTATATTCACGAGAGCTTCGAAGCTTCTAGGACACTATGTAATTCTTCTAGTAATTGACAGTTTCGCGAATTTTAAGGTGTACGTGGACGGTCTGAGGGGTTACTTGCGGGACATGTGGAATTTCATTGACTTTACGAGAAACATGCTGTATCTAGCGACCGGTATTCTCCGACTAGCGGCTTATCTTCAGCAACGCTCCGAAATACGAATAGATCCATCTGCTGCATTGATACCAAGAGAGAACTGGGGCGACTTCGATCCGCAACTGATCGCAGAAGGTCTCTTCGCAGCCGCAAATGTCTTCAGCGCTTTGAAGCTTGTCCATCTCTTCAGTATCAATCCGCACTTAGGACCTCTTCAGGTATCATGTTTGAATAGTCAACTCCAACGCTTTACCATTTTATGTTTTGAAATCAATGAAATCGTGATTCATCGATATCAAGGTTGCTTATAATTAATTACTTTCTTTAATTAGGTATGATGTTTAAATAATGATTAATGTGAGCCAATTCACTCAATTGAAAATTTTACCGTTTAATTAACAATTGATTTCAACAAATCAAGTCAAAACTATATTTCGCGATTTCTGTATTTACAAATATCATTTTTTGTTACCGGTTATACAAGATTTTCTTAAATCACTTTTTTTATCCGCTATTTAAAAAACCCAATTCACTCCAAACAATTTTTAACTTATCTTAACTTATTTTAACTTATCTTAACTTTTCTTATCCTAAAAAATATCACGTAACGCTCGTGCATGTAAATGAGAAATTACCTAAGTATTGATGTAATTAATAACAACGTGAATATTTTTAACACTTTATATTTTGGCACTCGTTGAGAAAGACACTGTATCTCGTAATTTCTGTCTAGATATCACTGGGCAGAATGGTGATCGACATCGTGAAGTTCTTTTTCATCTACACCTTGGTATTATTTGCCTTCGCTTGCGGCTTGAATCAGCTACTGTGGTATTTTGCGGAATTGGAGAGGCAGAAGTGTTACAGTGGAATGTCGGATCCCTCCTGGGATGCCGGCAGTGACGCCTGCTTAAGATGGAGAAGGTGAATGGAATAATCGAATTGCCAGACACGAATGAAAGACGTATTTGTCTTCCCTGCCTTTTGGACCGAGTTTCCGATAGACGTATCTCTATCATCTAATAATCATAAAAAAATAACAGACCGCATACTCTTTCAGTCCTGTAATATTAGTGATTAGAGTAATGAATTGTTGATCAAAGTAGCACAGTTTCGATAATACATATAATAAATTTGTCGGAAAGATATATATATATGAAAATTGTTTTTCCTTTAAAAAGCTTCTTGAAGTTCAGATGACTCCTAAAATTCTGCTGCTACACTTGATTTTAATTTTTCAATATTTCCAAATTCTAAAGGGCTACGACACATGTTCAGTTTATATTTTAATATATTAAATAATATACTAAACAAAATATTTATATATTTTAATTTAATATATGAGAATTAAGCTTGTATTTTACATAAAATGGATAAGTAAAAATCGCTAATTATTTAAGAATATATAGAATCAGAAAAGATTGATCCGACTACTTAAAGCAACAAAGTGTCAAGTAAACTAAACGTTGAAAAATTGTAGTCTATAGTAATGAGAACTCTCAAAGTTGGTTAATATTGTCGGTTTAATAAGGTTTAAAGTGCCTCATGACGACTTTTCAACAAATTTTGCATGAAATTTCTTTAGATTCAGCAACCTGTTCGAATCGTGTCAGAGTCTCTTTTGGGCCAGTTTTGGCATGGTTGGCATCGAGACCTTCGAACTTACCGGTACGATTGTAATACACACAAATATGAGAACAATATTCACCTTTCGACATCCATCAACAGGGAATTTCTAAACTGCCTTACTTACTATCTATGTTACTTTCAGGAATCAAATCGTACACTCGATTCTGGGGTTTGCTAATGTTCGGATCGTACTCCGTGATCAACGTGATTGTCCTACTAAATCTGCTGATTGCTATGATGAGTAACAGCTACGCCGTTATTGAGGTAACACCGCAACTCGAATGATATTCGTGACCTGAATTATCCCATCCACGATCGCGTTGTTGATACGGTAGGAACACTCCGACACCGAGTGGAAATTCGCGCGAACGAAGCTGTGGATGAGTTATTTCGAGGACACCGGCACCCTGCCGCCGCCCTTTAACATCTTTCCGCCGCCAAAGCTGCTCTTTCGGTTATGCGGCCTACGGAAAAAGCCTATCGGTAGGCGTAGCAGCCAACGTCGACGAGCACGTGAACACAAGTAAGTAATGTTTGCTGATATCTAGATGAAACTATCTAAGTGGTCATTTAAATGGAGAAATCTCGAAACATCTCACCTATATCTAAATGGTAAAGACAAATAACATTTTCATCGGCATCTTAGACGAAAAATGTGTCATCTTATCTAAAAAAAAATTTAAGATGTTTATGATACAACATCCAACAGTAGAATTTGTTACCTAGAATTTTTAGACATTTCCTGTAAAGACCTTTTCTTTGAAAAATAGATATTTTATACGCTATAAATATAACTGCACTTGAAAACAAGTCTATTTTTAGCAGTAGCGAAGATAAGGATTTCTTTCATGAGAGAGATATTATGAAAAAAATGATGTTGTTAGCAAATAGTCAGTCATTATCAACAGTAATATCGAAACACTCGAATAAAATATTTATTGTCACAAACAGTGAAATTTTTACTGTTACATAATACACACATATATGTATGTACACAAAGAGAGAGAGAGAGAGAGAGAGAGAGAGAGAGAGAGAGAGAGAGAAAGAGAGGAAGAAAGAAAGACAGAAGTGTTTAGTATTCACGACTGTATAACTACATGGTAGAATAGTTATAGTCATATACACATGCAGGAGGATCTTTTTTATAATAAATATTATTTAGTATACTGTTAGTGATATCAAAATTTATAGATGTATTGTTATTACTATTTCTTTGTTAGAACTACAAGATATAGTCGTCAAACGACTTAGTAAGATTAGTTTTGTCTTCTCAGTGCACACGAAACTTGCTGAGCAGTCAATATGTTAATAACACGGTATTAAGAACTTAATTATATGGAATTCTTTTGGTATTTCTTCGTGTTATCAGATATGGAGCTGTTATGAGAGCCCTGATATGGCGTTACGTTGTGAACGCACATAGCGAACACGAGATGGAACCCGTCACCGAAGACGACGTCCACGAACTCAAGTCTGACTTGTCCTCTTGGAGATGCGAGCTTCTGGACATCCTGCATAGGAACGGCATGGACATCGGCGACATTGATATGAAAGAAAAAAGTGAGTGCTTCCGTGTAGATACTGACTCTCTATTAATCGTGGAAAATGTCAAAAAGGAAAGCTTAAAACAGACCTAGCCAATCCATAACTCACAGCATTTTTTTACATTCTACCATATGATTTTTATATCACTGGCTATATCTGTGGGAGATTACTGGACCATTGGACTTTGTGTAGTTAGTAAAATATCGACTAATAAATCGCAACAAATAATGTAGCGGGCTATAGATTGATTAGGGCCGCTTAGACGCCAGAAATGTAAAATTCTCTTATAAAATTTAAATTCACTTATGAACTGTATAGCTATACTCGGTAAGAAAATGAAGATCTGGGAGAGAAGGCTGATGAAAGACTTCCAAGTAGCGGGTCCCGTGAATCCAAGTGACACCGATCTTCAGGAAGAGATGTCTCTCCAGCAACCTGAGGATGAGAACAACATTGAGAGATGGAAGAGAATCGCGAGACTAGCCGTCTTGACTTCGGCCGAGCATCGTTGGAGTCAGGTGTGATATCTCTGCTCTGCGTTTCGTCAAGAGAAACGAGATTGCTTCGATGATTATTAAATTTACCGTCGCGTTTGACAGGTGGTGAGGAGTGCAGTCAAGAGTTCTCAGATCGGCAAAAGCAACAGCAGAGCATCGCTACAGAATCAACAGAGCCTAAAGAAAGCTATGGAAGAGGCAAAGCGTTTGACACAGAAGAACCTGCTACCGCCTATCGTGCCGGTTCAATTACCGGAGACCACAGCGGCGACGATACTACATGTTCTGCACGATATCGTCGAGACTGACAACGATGCTAAATCTCCAGAGTCTTTTGGCGGTGGAGTTAACACTCAAGTCTCCCAAGTTTTTGAATCCATGCTTCAGGTATAACATTTTTTAATGAATTTTCGCGCAAATTTATAACAAATATTACAAAGAAAGAAAACATATAGTTAATCTTATTCTAAAATTATTTATTTATTCATATATTAATTATTCATATATATGTGTGTATATATGTTAATTTTATTCATATATTATCAATTATGGATATTTTCGAAACCAGCTACATTTATTTATTGTTCTTACGGAAAAGAAATAATAGTAATATGTGTGTGCATACAAGGTCGTTATACTAATGATAATAACTGTAACACTAATAATAGTAGCAGTTGCTACTATTAATACTAATATAAATACTATTATTAACAAATTAATAGTTATTACTGTTAACAAAAACGATTATGCTAACTGCAATTACTCCACTATACGATTATAGCCTGAAATGAGAAATGCTTTTTCTCAGTATGCTTGCCACTAGATAAGTCATTCACTATTTTTTGTGTGAATATCGGAATGCATTGTCTTGTCCAATGAAAAAATTTGTTTTATAATAGGAGAATTCTTCCATGTTTTGAACAAGACGAATATGTTCCGGATCAATAATTAACTGATTGTCCGAGGAGTTTTGTGCGTTTTAGCGCTTACGTTGTAATGATCTTCATATTATCACAAGTATTCAAAAATTATAAAGTATCGTATAATTTATTTAAGTTTTTACTGTGAAAATCACCACCTGTGGCAAGTGTTAAAGGTTAAATTAGAAATCATCAACTTTCTCTATTTTTTTATTTTTTAAATTTTCTCTTATTTTATACACAGTCAAAACCTACATCCTCGGTCAATTTTGTCGACGAGACTACTATGAAAGCGCCGTTGTTACCACTTCGTACATCGCCACCGCGAGTGATCAAACGAAAAGCACCTGCTCCTAGCAATCAACCATCAACCGGTAATCATACTATTTTCCTACAAAGTATGGATCCTTCGAGCACGCACACATGTCCCGCTATAAATATTTTACTATATATATATAGCGTTTTTTCTTTTTTATTAGTAATCATTTTTAGTAAAAAACAATTTTTTTTTAATTAATTTATATGCAAACAAATTACCGATTTTTCTGAAATTAAATTTGTATTAGTTAAAAACCAAATATATCTTGAAATATCTTTAATTATTTTATAATGCATTATACACACGATAACTACAGGCACAAAGAAACATAAAAAAGATATAAATCTGCCTCGATCAAAACGGAATAAAAATTGGTTTTTGATTAATTTAGTTTTTCCAATATCTACGTACATAGATATCTTATATTTAAAAAATAAGTAAATAAAGGAAAGAAAGGAATATTAAATCTTGACGTATTTCGATAAACTGTAATGAGGATCGGCGTATGCATATAATTCGTACTATATATCAATATTAATAATTGAGTAGAAATCAAAATATGTGCTATAACTACTTATAATTCGAATTAAATCAAATTTTCTATTGTTCAAAGTAGCGCTAATTGAGGCTTGTCTATATAAAAACCTGCGATGCAGCAATTAAATAAAATATTATTTGAGTAAGCAAATTGATAGCAGAGTGCGCGCAGATTGGCAGCAAATTTGATCAGAATTCCATATCAAAACTATAAACATCTGTATCCGCATTCAGCTCGTGTTTTGACGTCAGAGCCTGCTGATAGGCAATGCGAGCAGATTATCAGCAGAAATCGCGCAAATTCTGTCGCGCAACAGTCAGCTCAGTTTCTGCTACCAGTCTGCCATCAGATCGTTATAAGCTCTGCTCGGTTTCTGCCGCCAATCTGTTCGTCAGCAGGCTGTCATATTTCTGGCAACAGTTTGACAACATAATCAGATATAACAAATCCTGTGTTGGATCTGCTGTCTTTCTGCCATCAAAAATTTGTAGCAGACTGTTCAAAATCTGTTTGAGTAGGTTTAACTGAGTAAATTTAGGATACGTTAGATTCGATATTAGCTTCATGAGTAACACGACTTTATCGTTCTCTCAGGGCAATCATCAACTTCTCAGCTATCGACTATGCTACTTTCGACCACTGCGAGCACTACTTCCGCAATTGCTGGTTCTACCGCGACTGCTTCTATATCTGCGACTACTGCTGCTGGTACAACCACAACTGCCATTACCACAGTTGCCTCTACTACGGTAGCTTCTATTACTGCGAAGTCCACTACTGTTTCTAAGTCCACCACTACGAAAGCTGCTTCTGTTACCGTGAAGTCCACGGAAAGTCAAAGCAAATCTTCTATTATTGCGAGCGCGCCTGTAGCCAGCATCAAAGACGGCAGTAGTTCAGTCAGATCGCGTCCGAAAGTTTCACTCAGCCCTAAGCTTCCAACTATTCCGTCGTTGACTGTTACTTCGAGCTCAGAAAGTAATAAGAACGATGATAGCGAGAAGCTCGTCGACATTACGCCGAGCAGCAAATTGTCGAGAGCAGGATGGCTTTAGACATACAGCTGCGAATAAACATTAAGACATTAACGGAATCCTGTTGCTATAGCAATAAAGTTTAGAAGTTAAGAAAAACATATACTACAATAAATTTGTTAATTTATTATCGCTAAAGATAATTCAAAAGTAAGATCAAAGATTGATCTTTGATAATGTCAACTTCATTGTTTTTAATGATTATTAATATTAAAATTCACGTATCCACACAGCATATATCATTCGTATACTCTATATATTGATACCGAATAAAAAATATAAAAATATGGTTAACACGCACGGAAGCAAATTCTACTGTTGGATTATTGAGTGTCATAAATTAAGACACCAGAGACTGCAAATTTCCCATTTTTATAACTTATTAAGGTGTGGTTCAGTATATCCAAGTAGCAAAATGACGTTAAACGACATATTAATAATGCTCTAACGTTAAGAATATAGCATTAATATATTTTCAGATTTTTATATATTTTCAGATGACATCCTACTACCTATATACGAGGGTGGTCTGAAAAGTTTCCGACCTAACAAAGATACAAGTCATTTTTTCTGAAAATTGTTTTTTATTTTTCAACATAGTCTCCTTGTAAATCTACACACTTCTCCCAGCGATGCTCCCATCTCTGTAACCCGTCGAAATAGTACTCGGCGTTTTTCTCTGCAAAATAATTGTTCACGAAGGTGATTGCCTCTTCATTTGACGAAAATCTCTGTCCTCCGAGCGCAATTTTTAGATGAGGGAACAAAAAGAAGTCGCTTGGGGCTAGATCTGGTGAGTAAGGTGGATGGTCAAGCAGTTCAAACCGTAATTCGTGGATT